CTCACTGAGTGAGTACCGATCACCTGCGCTCGCTCACTGAGTGAGTACCGATCCCCTGCGCTCGCTCACCTGAGTGAGTACCGATCACCTGCGCTACTCCTAACAGACAGGCCCCAAAGACGGAGCTCTCAGCTCAGGGTCAAATCAGATCCGCTTTGACCCCAGTGAACCCGCAGTGACCTTTTCAGGAAGTCCGAAAGCCAGGAGGTGTGCGCCCGTACCCCCTTTTAAAGAACGGAATGCGTGTCCAGAAAACCTTTCTGTATTTTTTTCGTCAAAAGAAAAAACAGCTATTTCCACGATCTGGGGAAGATTACAATCCGTTCCGGACCCCAAAACGGCCATCCATTCTTTTACTTTTGACACAATATCAACTCACATTCAAACGGTGGGTTTGTCTTTTTAGTAATAAAAAACAGAGCTGATCCAGCTAGATATCATTACTCAAGCCTCAATACAGTAGAGTACTGTAGGGTAACCTCTTTGTTTTCTTGTTTTATTCGATACAGCCACAAGTTTCATTCTCCGAACAGCTGCAGCTGTCCGTGATCAAGGCTGAACCACAAATGGCACAATCTAACGAACATGCAGGCAGCAGGAAGCAGGGCGCGGCGAACTCTCGGGGCTCTCCGCAGGGCTGTGCTGGCTCTCCCCCACGTGAGCGAGCGCCAGGGGACGCAGACGCTCGCCGCTTTTCCTGTACCGTGTCTGCGTCGTTTCGAAGTGGGCTTTCGTTACTCGAAATGGGGGTAACAATTCAATTCAGGTCAATTCAAGGTGCTTTATGGGCCTGACCGATGAGTAAAATCAGTGTTGCCAAAGCAAAACGAACCCAGACGCAACAGAAAATTACAGACATTTACAGTATAGACAAGAAAGCAAGATATTTACATATAAACGTAGGGCGTTTATAGATACCAACTCGTAGAATCGAATTTTCACAAGACGAACATTCGTAAGAAGAGGAAGGGGTGTATTTCTCTTTTCTGCTCCTGGGTGCGTTTTAAAAACTCAGGGTAGTTGCCCCGGCTCCTGGGGCAGCAGAGGGGCACAAAGATCTTACCCCTGGGACCCTCCAGTAGGCTCATGTCGTCCAGCCAGGCGATGGTGGAGAAGGCCTCTGCTCTCCGGTCCAGCTCGCTGCACAGGGACAGGTAGCCCAGCCAGAACCTGCAACACACACCCCGTCACCCAGAGCGACACCCTCGCCACTCCTCGCCTGCCCCCCCGCCCGACAGCGCTGAGCCCAGAGACGCACGCAACAGGTCAGAGGTCGGTGTGCTCACCCGTGGGACCTACAGGTCTCTGCCATCTGCTGCTTGGAAGCCAGGTCAGCTGGGAGCCCAATAAAGAGGGAAATGAGACGACTGTAACCCCACCTGAACAGGTGAGAGCGCCACCTGGAGGACAGGAGGAATTACAGCAGTCAGCCCCCACCAAAATCTAGGACTCCGGGTCGCTCTGGACGACCCCTGCATCCCCTCTCAGGTCGCGACAACGTTTAAACGATGCACTGCACGGCCATTTTGAGCCGCCTCCCGAGTCCGTAGCACGCTGACCCAGGCTGGGGTGAAGGGTTAAAGGGTACCTGGGGCGTCCGTCAGGAGTCAGTGTGTCGGCCCTCTGAGGGGCATCATGGGACAGCGCCAGCTCCAGCCAGTCCTGTCGCAGGGCCTCGGGCTGCAGCAGGGAGGCCAGGAAGCAGGGTCTGGTGGGGAAAGGACAGTGCTGTGTGTGCGCGCTGCAGAGCGGTCGAGAGAGAGCGCACGCTACAATTTCTTGTGTTAGAAATCTGTCTTGTTGACACCTGAAGAAGGCTCCGCGGCCGAAACGTTGTGTTCTCTTTCTTCTTTTTTTCAGCATGGAATAAACCTATTACTTGTTCCTTTGCACCCCAGCTTGCTCTCCATTAGACACACAGACAGGGAGAGACGCTTGGGGTCAGAGCGCAGGGTCAGCCATTTATATGGCGCCCCTGGAGCAGCTGGGGTGAAGGGCCTTGCTCAGGGGCCCAACGGAGTAGGATTCCTCTGCCGACTGCAGGATTTGAACCGGCAACCTCCCAGCCACAGGCACAGATCCTGAGCCACAGAGCCACCACACCGCCCCCCCAGGAATAAGAGGGACCCCACGCATCTGAGGAAAGCTCGCACATACACACACCCTCTCTCGACTCGACGGGCTCCTGTACAGACACAACACGCCAGGAGGTATGATGAGCACTTGACTTCAGTCGAGCACTCAGGCTCCGATTGGTGCCGTCAGCCTTATAAACAGACCTGCGCCCCGATACCGACGAACGGCTCCACACGATGATCGCACAGAGCCCAAGGCCGTTTCCCGACCCAGAAAAACAAGTACGAGCAGGCGCCCCCCTGGCTGGCCGCCCCACTGCGGGTACCCCGATGCCGGCTGGTAAAAAACGGTCCACCCAGCAGCACCGACGCGACCTCTGACCCCACCCCGCACCTCCGCTCCTCGGGCTGCGACTGGACGAGATTGTCCAGGTACGCCAGGAAGTGGCTCCTCTGGGACATGGCCAGGACGTCCGCGGGCAGGATTGTGGGATAGAACTGGCCGAAGGACCGGACGGCCAGCTCTCCGTGTCTCTCGTACAGCCTGAGGGAGAGGAAGAGGGAGAGGAAGAGCAGGGGGCAGGGATTGGAGAAGCAGAGGAAGAGAGACGAAAGAAAAGAGCGAGTAAGGACACCACAGAGTTTGTGGTCCAGTACCCATCCAGCCATTTTCTAAACGCTGCTGCCAATTCAGGGTCGCAGGGGAGCTGGATGAAGCCAGGGTGCACACAGACACACTCCACACACTAGAGTCAGTTGTTCCAGAAGCCAATTAACCAATTAGCCAAATGCTGTTGGATTGTGGGAGGAAACCCACGGGAACACAGGGAGAACATGCAAACTCCACACAGACAGCACCCCAGGGATTGAACCCAGGGCCCCAGTGCTGCGAGGCAGCACTGCTAACCACACACACGCACACACGCACACGCGCACACGCACACGCACACGCACACGCTGAGGTCTCACCTGTGCAGGTGAGCGAGCAGCAGGGGGCCGGACCAGGGCTGCAGCTCCCGCAGGTGACGCAGCGACTTCAGCAAGTCCCCCTTCTCCAGGAACCGGACCACGGGACTGGACCGGGTCAGCTCTGCGCGAACCGAAAGACACGGGCCCCGCGTCAACACCCGCTCCCCCTCCCAGGGGCCAGGCCGGGCCGGGCCGGGCGGG